AGCGCCATAGTCAGGCTCTCGAATCATTTTTTTTTTGTAAATTCAATGTATTTAGACAAATTTTGAAGGGGCATATGGGGTGAAACTTGGGGGATTTCAAAAATTATAAAAATAAGAGTCTCTTGGTGCCTAAAAAAGGAAGAGGAAAGGAAGAGAAGTAAGAAGGGTAGATAGAGAAAGTGTAAAGGGGATAATATTTCCAACACTTTAGAGCGCGGGAGAGGAGTAAAAGTAGAAACTTCTTTCATTTTCTACATTTCTAAGTTATATTTGAGAGTAATTGTAAGAAGAATTCTTCAAAGGAACTTTAGAAGAATTACTTGGGGAGGACTGTTTTGTATTTTTTTTTAGTTTTGTTAAATTTGATTGTGTAAACCTACTTATATATATATATATATATATATCATGTGTTGTTGTTTTGTCCCCATGAAATCAAAGTAGTTTTCTTTATCTTTCTCCTTGTGATGAGAAATAATCATGTGTAGGATTAGACTTGTTTAGCATTTCTTTTATTTCATAATTGTGATGATTCATTGCTTCACACTTAATTTACTTATTTAGTTTGGCCAATTGATAAGTTAAAATTTGTTGTGAATCATAATGACCTGGGAGTGCTATGAATTTCCCAACTAGTAAGAATCACATTGCTCTATTTGGTGAAGGAAAAGTAGTCCATAGGCTATGCAAATAAATAGAGAGATACGTTTTGATGGGTGTAAATTGGCGATTTTAGTGAAACATGCTATAATCATAACCAATTTGATCTAGTGTTTGAAACCTAAAGCTTGGTTTGCCAAACTAAGGTCTTACATGGGTATTCTAGAGTGACAGGCTATCATCTATCCAACATAACTAAGGATTTAGGAACTTAACTATAGGTTAGCCAATGTTCTTTATGCACTCATAAGAGAGTAAAGAATATGTATGCTCCTATTTATCATAAAAATACATTTAAATTTATAAATATTTGATTCCTACACTGATTATAATCTCATTGCAAGGAAAAAGATTTTTCCATACAATTTGAGCTTTTCTACATAAACTAGTTTAGAAACATGTAACATCTTCTTTAAGTTTAGAAATAGAATTTGTAGGTATTA